CCCTGACACAGCTCCAGATGTTCCCTCGGGTCTGTCCCTGGTCCCAGAGAGCAGAGCTCAGAGCTGCCCCTCTGCCTCCCCTCGGGAGGAGCTGCAGATCCCAAAGAGTCTCCCCTCAGTCTCCTCTGCTCCAGCTGAACAGGCCAAGGTCCTCAGCCTCTCCTCAGACCCTTCCCCAGCTCCGTGTCCCTACTTTGAGTGATCTCCAACAGCTTTAGATCCTTCTGACGTTGTGGTGCCCAAACTGCCCCCAGGGCTGTGCCAGAAGGCATTGGGAAGGAAAGGGATGGGCTCACAGGTGTGGGGCAAGTCTGTATCCAGGGCAGGGAGGTGGGTGTCAGTGGCAGCAGGAGAGGACAGTGGGGACAGTGACCTCCCACCTAGGGCTGGCACAGCCCCTCTGAGCCAGGTGAGGAGCAGGTGACTCACGTCATGGCCTGATAGATGGACTCCACTCCATAGCGCATAGCAAACTCGTCCACAATCTCCTGCGCAGTTTCATCAAAGTACACCTTCCAGGCATCATCCCCCTTGGCATCAGGGATCTTCACCACCCCATTGTTTTGCAGGTCCGTCACGAAGTGGAACAGGTTCTACAGGTACCAATGAGCCCTGTGAGGTCCCCGGGGCCAGTGGTGGCAGGGTGGCATGGCTGGGGTGAGGGCTGTGCCCCCTGTACCTGCCTGGGCCGCTCACCTCGTGCAGGCAGGTGTACTGAACGTGGTAGGGAGCCACCTTCTCCTCTCCTTTGATCTCCACACTGATGTGCAGCCGGATGGCTCCTGACACAGCTGACTTGTCTGTCCGCTTGTCTGAGGGGCACAGGGGGAGAGATGAGTGTGAGGCTTCCCCAGAGCAACTCTGCTCACTCCTGGCTCCAAAGTGGCTCTGGCACAGAGGGTCCCTGAGGGTTTGCAGCCCAAAACCTGTCACATTCCTGCAAGTCCTCTACTGGGTTTAGTTTTAGTAACCTGCATCCCTTCAAGCAGGGCACTGCCTCTGTGCCTCAGTTTCCCCTCTGCAGAGGGCAATACTCCAGACCTCCTGAGCAAGGGGAAAACGACCCTGGGAAAACACTTGATCCCACTGGCTCTTGACATTAAATGTTTGTAAGGGCACACCCTGGTGCAATAACCTTCGGGCCAGGGTTGGCAGCATGTCCTCACAGGAGCCCAGGGCTGGGGGTCCCATCCCAAGTGGGCTGTGCCACCCCCCAGGAGCCCAGGACCAGGGTTCCAGCCCGAGCAGGCTGTGTCAGGGAGCTGATTACCCAGGTTGTACCAGACGTCCATCTCCC